ATTGCCGCATTGCACTCATGGGATGGGTTTAGTTTTTTAATCTTTAAATCAGACTCCGACCGATGGATGCTGCTGTGCCTTTCCACGTGTCTCCATCAGAGCGGAAGAAAGAAAGTTGAAAAAAATTTAGAAACGAAATAAAAAAACTGAAAGAACTAAAATAAAATAAATTAAAACCGAGTAACATTATAACACAATGTACGCCTGTGCGTTTTAAAGTGCAGTGTTGGATGGATTTTTATAACAGAAAAATAATCTTAAACGTTGATAAAATAAAATTTATTAAATTATTAGATAATATATTATGTGAACTTTTCAAGTTAAAAATAAATATAATGTTCAAATATTAATAAGTTCATTTGTATTTAAAAAAAAATACAGAAAAATAGGTATCCATAGTATATGTACGTTAACACGTTTCCTATATGTGTATATGTGTGCGACTACTATTTGTGTGTATGTATACGCATCTTTGTGCGTGTGTGTGCGTGTGTGTGTGTGCGTGTTTATGTATGTGTGTATATGATAATTATGTATATTATGTAAACATAGAGAGAGAAGCGAGAGAAAGAGTAGGTTAAAGAAAAAAATAAAAGAACAAAAAACTTTAGACCGCAATGTGGTAGTGAATGGGATGTGTCCGAAACGAATGTTTTCTTTTAGTCAGAATCGCTCTAATGTATTTATGGCTTTCCCGTTAACACACTGAATTATGCGTTTAATTTTTGCGAGTGGTTAATTTCAATCTGCTAATTTATTAAGAGTATAGCTATACGACTATCAGGTTTCAATTTTTAATTATTTCATTTGTTTTATTCAACTTAGTTTAATAGCTTTAATTTAATAAGTTTCCTTGTTCAAATTGCATTACAAATACATTTAAGATAATTAATTTGCACGATTTTCTTTAAGCTTTGCTTTTTATTGCCCGCAGAAAGTGTCTACCAATAGCTAATAAATTTTTAACATCAACTTTAAGCGTTGTATTTTGATTTTGCTCATAAACTATTTGAATATGAAGCGAGAAAGCATGTCAACGAACAAAACAATTATTTCGATTTCATACGTGATACGTAATTCAACTTAGCATTACTATTTAATAGCATTCTCTTCCATTGAAAAGAAGACTTAAACAACAAAACGTTTTTACATGTTTCTGTGTAAATAATAAGGAGTATTTAAAACGCATATATTTTTCGTTCAAACATCGACGTTAAATTTTTCAACATTATTATTTTATAACCAAAATTTTATTAATTTTCTATTCTAGCTTATAGATTTATATTCAACATTCAACAAAAACCAAGTAAAACATTGCTGAAACAAATAGTTTGAATTTGCAACCTTTAACGCATTCGTAGGCAGCATTCAAGTAAGACTTGAGCTCCTTCAGGCATGGAACAAACAACTCGAACTCGGCGTCGGGAACTCTCAATTCGCACATCCTTCTTCCGGAACATCTCTTGTCGGTCATCTTGATGACGTCACTGTAGCATCCGATGTTGCCCATGCCGATTTCCACGCACCTGCCCAACCTCATTCTGCCGTACAGAGCCTTCTGGATGAGGATCACGTGGTTCTCGGAACATTCGGCGCGAAACACTTCTGTGTCGCAGTACTCGTCGCTTCGATCTATGCATGGGAGATAAAACAACTAGTTGATTATTTAATTTTTATCAGTGATTTACGATGAAAAAATTGAACAAAGTTTTAAATGCCTAAGATTTCATACATCGTAATGTTATTCGTTAAAAAACTGATTAAGAATTGGTATCCCTACTTCAATAGTCAAGCGGTAGAATAAAAATGTGTCAACTAAACAATCAAGTAATCAGGCAGGTAGCGAGGAAGCAATTCAATTGAACCTAATGAACCAGGTTATATAATTTCACAGAGAAAACACCCTTCACACAATCAAAAGGTTGTGCCACAGAGCTCAACAGCCAACTACTATTCGTCTTTTTATTCACTTCACCAAGAGAAAATGTAAAAAAATACTCTCAATAAATAAAAATAATTTTCAGTCTTGAAAAAATATTATAACAATATCTAGTGCACTGGCAAACTGACGCATTTCGCCAGAAATTTCTCAGATTTAATAAATTAAAAAGTTTTCAAATAATTACACCTGTTCAGTTTCTAAAATAAAGCCTGATGACACGTCAACTTGCACAAAAATTTCTTCGCCGCATCGAAAAAAAAATTAAAATCGATGTTAATCTCACAGGAACACGTAGGTACGCCGCAAAGTGCATTCGTCCAACGTTCTTTCGTTACTGATTGATTAGAAGTTAAACAAAATTGTTAAAATTTTCAACTAGCAACATGTGTGTTGACTTTTGTTACATTTACATCATCAGGAAAAGTAGAAGTAGATGCTGTGTCTGTTTTGAATTCAAGTGTAATTTTATTTCATTGATACGGCTTTCGTCACCGTCAGAAAACTGCATAGAAGCAAATTGTATAAATTAATCAATAAATAAATTAATTAACAAACAAATAAACAAATGTTGTTGCATTTTTTTATATTAATGACGTCAGTATTGTTGTTTTGTTTATCTTTTAAGTTAAACCATGTTTCTGAGTTTGAATGCATTTATCGATTTACGTTGAAAAAGTTTTAAAATTTTAACGATTGCAGTTAATATCGGGGAAATTAGTTTGTTTCATTCACATAGCAGATTAAACTATTTTACTAACGTAAACCAACGCTATACATTACATAACAAAACATCAACATTATGACAGGACTTGCAAAAAGGCAAATTATAAATTACATCAAAAAAGCATCAATAACAACAAAATAAAATTAAAATGATGCCACACAACTTACAAACCAAAAAGAATCAGAACCACATCATTATAACATAAATGTAATATCTCTTTAACTTTAATCCAAAGTTATTTTGACAGTAAATTATACGTAATTATAAATAACATGATTTCACAACTGCTGTGTTGTTGTTATCATCATTGCAACTAACAACGATATTAAAATATTCCAAGTTTTTCAGTTCACAAAAGAAAAAATTGACGTTGACAGCGTCTAGACAGGTTTGAAGACTGCAGACCAACATCATTTGACTTGTTTTCACAATCTAGCTGATGAAAATAAATCAAAGAATTAATATTTTAAAAAAATTTTTATTAATAAAATGGCATTTTTTTTCTCAAAATTGGACAACGTTCAAAATAAAAATATAAAACATAGTTTCAACATAAAAATCAATTATAACATACAGCAATGTGAGATGCTAACATACCAACTGGACAACATTCGACTCGATCCAATTCAACCAGACAGACGACGATGTTATCAATCTATGTGAGATGCATCTTACGAAACAGAAAATTGTTGAATTATTGGTGAAACGAAGAGTTGCCATCTTTTTATGTTCAGTGAGGTGCGGTAATCAACAATTTAATTGAAGATCTAATTTCTATTTGATTGTACTTTTATCTTAAAAACTAGCAATGGCAAGTTTCAAAAGTTATTCTTCAGTTAAAATACAACCTACGAATTAAGAGATTCAAGCATTAATTTCAAAAAATAGAATAGTTTTTTGCTCATTATCTTCAAATGACCAAATGTAAATCAAAAACTGAACATAAAAAGCATTTACCAAAACACTGTCTCGTGTTTCCTGTCTCGTGTTCAAATTGGGAAGTCAAGCTATATAAAAAATTTAACTCGAATTCTACTGTAAGTTTGATTTTGTTGCGTCAAAATATAATGTACGATGATAAATTTCCTAAAATGTTAACTTTGAATTACAGTTAAGGTCACGACTGCCGGTCAATATGTAAAAGACAGAGTTAAAAATAAAATAAAAAATTATTTGTAATTGTAATATCGACGAAGGTAAAACAAAATGCCCTCACACATGCAAACAAACATTGTACAATCATACGCACATGTAAAAAAAATATGCACGAATGAACAAACAGATGTACAGACACACGTAGAAACATTGGTAAAGACATTGGAACTGCCACACGCACATGTGATTACAGACGATCCTTTTCAACTGCATAAAAACTTTATTACGTAGTTGCTCAGCCGTCGTAGTCAAATGTTGATGAGACAATATGAAGTGTAGTAGTCTAGTTATTCGGCTGAATATTGAAAACTTTATGGGTTTTTTTTCTATGCTTCGGGTTAAAAAAGTATTTACAATGACAAACTTTTTAATTTTACCTTTAAGTTTACCTTTAAAAAATTTTGAAATTTTAAAAACAGAATTTTTAAATTGTTTATTTAAATCAAATTATTTTAATCATTGAAATTTTTCATCCAAAATGTAAACTGTAAACTATGCAACTACATTAAGAATGTCTCATGGCACGTGATGCAAGAGGAAGCTTTCGATGCGAAAACAGATCCAACAAGCTCTGGAAATTCGTCATCCAACAAGTCAAATAATCTGCAGTACGATAGGGTTTTAGACAAGTTAGTCTATTATTGCGTTGCAAGCAAAACACAAAACATATTTTGAATTGATGTTTGGCAAGTTGAATTTCAATTAAATAATTTAAGTGTCAATAAATTTACTTTAATAATAATTAATTAGTTTGTTAATTTTATTGAATAATTTATTTGGAGCCTGGCTGGTAGATTCATGGACAATCATTCATTTCATGTGATAAGTAATTTCAATGTTGGTTCGTGTTTGGCTTGTTCCTTTCAATGTTTTTTCTTTCTTCTCGTCGTTCTTTTCAATGATTTTCTTATTTTTCATAATGCAGCTTCGTCAAACTGAGCCTCTTGCATGTTATACTACACTTGCTATTAAATTTTCGTGCCACGAAGATTGCGCTATGCACACCACACGACGCGCATGCACTTTTTGCACACATGCACATCACACACACGGATTTAATACTTTCTGGGTTTCGGGCAGGCCATCACGTAATGGCAGTGCCAGAGAGACGTAGTGCTTCTACCAACTGAGCTAACTCGGTCACCATTTGTCCATTCATCTGTTCATATTAGTGGTTGTAGTAATAATGGCTTGAATGTAATATATCTTTTAATTATCAAAATTATCAAAAGCTTATTTAAAAGTTGTTTACTGACGAATGTGATGTTGATAAACATTTTATTATCGCTCAAATTTTTTAACATGTAAAAATTGTAAATAAAATTTCATTTCAAATTAACGAGACGAGATTCAAGTAACTTTAAGTCCCAACGTGCGATATGCCTGCCTTGCATACATCTCTCTCTATCATCCAACCACAATCGCGACATAAGCAAAAGCACACAAACATTCGAACACTTCAACATTAACACACACGTACAGTCTCACACATACACACACACACAAACACGCAAACAAGCTTCAGGCACACACATTCACACACACTCACAAGAAGAAAACCAACGTGACCACACAAGCGATGATTATTTTTCAATGAAAGTACGCCTTGAACGTCATTTCTTGAATATCATTAAATCAATGAGATTAATTAATCAACAGACACTTCACAGGTGTACATGACTTACACAGGCAGGCTTACATACAAATGCATATAAACATACATACATGCATGGATACATACTTACATACATACGCATTAATATACATGCACCTATGCATACATACATGACTACATGCGTGACACTCGCATATGTACACATGTATTACGTTTATTGTTTGTTTATGATAAAATACTGGAGCCGCGCAGTCATAAAAAAAGCATGGCAAAGGGACGAGTTTTTGAAAAACGGTTTAAAAACCTGCTGAAAAAGTTAAAATTTTAGTTAAAATACAATGAAGAAATTGGAGAAAAAATTATTAAACAATTTTTCTTTCACAATCGCCAAACTTATCTAAAAATTTTAATTAAAACTTTTCTATTGACTTAAATTATAAACAAATTTTTATAACAAGTAAGCATTATGTAATTTTTTGTTAACAAGAAACTATATTGAAATGTTGATGGTTTTCCATTGTTCAATGATTTCTTTAATTAGATTTTAGTTACAGAAAGGTTACAAAAAAATTTATCAATTATAAGGAAAGAGCATTCTGTCATCAGAAACTCATTCTGAACGACACCTTGGATGTTAGTGCAAATGAATGCAATTAAGTCCTCAATATATTTTGAATACGTGGTCTGGCGCGCAGCAAACTTTATAAACATAACAATTTTTATCTATTTTTATTCTCCAAATCAATTTTTTATTAAAGTTTCAGTTATTTAATATTTGACGGCGATACATTATTAAAATTATTAAAAGTGAAACATAAAAGAAACCAACACAATTACAAATTATAAAGAAAGATAAAACATTCACGCCATACTTATTTTCGCAATAAATTTTATAGACTGGTAGAATCAAGGTAGAATTTTATAAAAAAAAAAAAGTATGGGAACAGAAAATTAAAAGGCAAGTCAGGAAACCGTGAACATCAGTTTATCGTTTCGGCTTTTCAAATAATAAAATTAATATAAACATGGAAAAACTGCAAAGAAGTCGTAAAAAATATCAGATCTGCAGTTTCATAAAGTAATTTGAGAATTTTTATGACTGCCATGTGTAAGAGTGGTCTGTAAAACTGGTTTGGCAAAATGGTGTCGAAGCATTCATGAATTGAGTTACATATGTACAAATTATACGACTTGAATTTAGGTGTGTTATATGTTATAAAGATGTTCTTGTTATTAAAAATGCCATTCCCGTTAAAGCTTGGATAGTTTTTCTTTGTGTTAATGATGTTAATTAACGGTGTTTATTAAGATCCTCTCAAGAGAACATGGATGAAGTTAGAAATGAGAAATATATTACAGAGTCATCAATCAGTATTTGCTCGGGTCAGATGTCAGTCTATTGTATTAGTTCAAAACGGTATCAATGCTGAAGAATAAAAACTTATGACCTGAAAGAGAATGGAAAAAATCGGTTAACAAATGAAGCTTAGAAACAGTACCAAGACACTGAAAATGTGATGAACTTGTAGTCAAAATGTTTCCTTTCTGTTTATTCGATTAATCATGTAATTGTTTATATTTAATCATAAATTTATTCTTTTATTTAGTTAATTATCTACTATTTAATTTCTTAAATGTGCTCTTTACTTAACACATCTGTTCAGTTTTAGTTGTAGTTTATTTTCAAAGCTTGATATCTCATTTTTAAGAGGTTTTCGCTAATAATTCGGCAATAGTTTGTTAAAAAAAACAATGAAAACAGGAAAAATGAACAGATTAATAAAAAATTGTTCTTCGGTAAAAAAAATTTTGTGAACGTCATCATCCAGCAAAGTTTCAATTATTAAGATCGTAAAACTGCTCAGCTTCTCAAACGACAACTCGCAGAACTGCGACCATTTCAGGCACGACCAACCAAAGTTTTATGCATCTATAATGATTTCAGTTATTTCACTCCACATTTTTTCTCTTTTTATTTCAAAGGATTGACGTTTATTTTTCGTTTATGCCTTTCAAGGTGACCAGGCAAGCTGTGCTTCAGACGGCTGGCTCGATTGAAATCTTAATAAACTTGTATGCACGCACGTGAAGTGCCTGCGGACTTAGACCTGAATGAAAGCAGCACCTACTACACCAAATATTAATTTACGCGCAGATGACACGCACGCTCTGCCATTTGAAATCATACCTGAACTCTAAAATAAATGCACGCACACACACACACGCGCGCGCCCACACACCCAACTCTTACAGTAAACAATTGTTGATGCTGACAGGCTTACACGATTATACATTTTTTCATACATATTTCTAGACGTGGCCAGGTTGATTCTTTATAAATGTAAGTGTTTTATATGCATGCAATTCATCATAAACATAATGAGAAACTGTCTGCAGTGCCTACTTAGTTATGCATGCATTATGACGGTTATGATTACATCTACAATTCAGCAATGTTTCTCTGTGTGTAGACATTCTATTCCTGTTGTACATTGTTTGTACATACACTACAGCAAACGTGTACAAACATACAGAATTATGTACACATACATGTGCATGCAGTTGAATTTGTGGCGTAGACGGGATTGATTGATTTCCTGTTGATGTTCGTTTCAATGCATCCAGGTCACAAACCGCTGAAATCTACTCGCAAAACATCACAGCACTTTCGCTGAGTTGATTAACTCAATCTTTACAGAACAATTAAATGTTTACTAACCTAACTACCTCCTTTGGTTGAATAGTTTGATGCAACATAATTTTAATACCAGCATGTTTTAATTAAAACACTTTTTAACAATAAAATTTTAATAATAATCTTTAAATAATAACAATATATTTTTGTATTAATCTGCAATTTAATTGAAAAAGCCCGATAGACATATTTAAGGAGCATTGACAATGTAAACAAACGTTTGTATGTTTATGCTGCAGTTGGAAACATATATCAGAGTGCATGAGGTAATGTATGATTGTTTGCAAGACATTACGCATGTTGGTTGATGCACTTTACGAAGACAACCTCTTGAGAGTATTTTTATTTCATTGTAATTTGCTCCGTCTACGTACCGCTGAGCTTCAACGACGCTCTTTTTGCAACCATCTGTATGCATCACCATTCGTCCTGGGGTCGTATAACTGTTCAAGTATGTGCTCGTGCGTGTCTGCTTGCACGTTTATGTTCATGTTTGTTTGTCCGTCTCTGCGTGTATGTGTGTTTGTGTACACATCTGTGGATCTGTTGATATTACCTGCGGTTATTTTTAGTTATTGTCGGTGTTTAACATTTGTCAAAATAGCTAAACGGTAAAAAAATTATAGTGAAATTGATTTTGAGATCATTCGCATTTTATCAGATAAATTATTCTGATTCTTTTAAAACAGTTTTCAAACTGCTTATTTACAATTATTTATATTCACTCTGTGTTTCATGATGTTGTACGTTAATTTAAAAATGTTATTGCTTAAATATTTTCTGGTGTTTTTTATGTTATGAATTGAAAATCGTTATTATTAATGTTATAATTATTATTGTTAAGATTCAATTTTAGTACTTACAAAAATATACAATTAAATAACTTAACAAAAATCAATAGAGATGAATGAATAAAAACAAATAAATGTTATGAATATATTATGAATATATCGTATATGTTATGAATAAAAAACTGATAAGGTTCTTGGCGCAAAACGTTTATTTCGGTTCAGTCAAAGAAGGTTTTCAGATTGAATGTTGATAAGAACATTCAATCAATCCATCAGCTGTGTTTGGATAAACATAATTTTCGTGATGCCCAACGAGTTTCGCAAACATTTCTGTTTTAATAGCCGTTTTGTTTTTCGCTTGGCAATTTTTCTCAAACATAATGAATTTTCAGTTACAATTCGGTAATATATAAAATAGATAAAATAGTTTAAATATATAAAAAGTTCCAAAAAATAAAAAAAAAATGAAAATTTAGAATGTCTACTGCGTTATTCAATTTTAAATGTACAACTAAGCTTTGGAAAAATTCAACTGGCGTGTTATCAAATTACTTCAGGTCAGAGATTTAGGCAGATAAACATTAAAAGGACAATGTCAAATTGACTGTTGCAATAAAAAGTATAAACAAAGATTCATCAAATAAATATATAAATGTATTGTGTATTATGATACAACTTCATTTCATTTCATTTAACTTAATTTATTATGACTTAATTTAATTTAATAAGACGAGCGTAGTAAGAACAAAATAATTCAGGCATTTTCAATAAAGAAGAAAGTTAATTGTAGCTTAATAAAATGTTGAACAAGGTATTAAATAATTAAAAATAATAATAAATGAATAATAAACAAATAATAACATGTTATTATTCTATAAATAAAAAACGTGTAGGCCTATATGTATAACCTCATTGATCTGATCATTCATTGCTATTTTGCATACAAAAACATTGAATCAATTCATTTCTTGATTGCATTATTAAGACAAATCAATTTTTTCCAATGTTTGACATAACATGGCTGATATA